TAGTGCTTAGTTTTTGGTTAGTATTTGATTTACAGTCTAGTTCTTAAAATGGATTCTCTTTTACTGATTGAACTATAGGCCACTTTGAGTTAAGCAATATGTAGATTAACAAAATCTATGAGTCTAATGAAATTCTCTGAGTAAAATTCTTCATTTTTATTCTTTGCCTCAGATTTTTATCCTAGTCACCAAAATTTTAGAAGAACAGAATCATATATTCCTATATGTTCACATATATTATGTACACATACACACACACACACACACACACACACACACACAGAGTCTTCTATTTTTGTTTGTAATTCATTCTTTTTCACCCCCTGGACAGTTGTACATTCATTTCTACCCATGAAAAAATAAAACAAAATTTATTTGGGCACAATCCAAAATGTGTTTAGACTATCTGATTATGTATTCTATAAACTACTGTGATTCAATTAACTGTTTTGAAACACAAATGCCAAAAAAAAACTTGATAAAGTATTTATTAAAAAACAGAGGCATAGTTTGACAAAGCACCCTAATATAATCACAGCACTCTTCAATTATTTTAATTTATGAAGGCACAATTACCTTAAACCACATAAAAAGTTCAAATAGTTACACATTATTGAAGGCAAATGAATGCTTACATATGAACTTTTAAATATGGAAATAAATTGCCTTGGATTTTGGTTGATTTTGACAATGTTTGTGCCAGTTTTACTTTTTATCCCAATGGTTTACTCCTTATTTGTCAGAAGGAGCAGGAGTAGCTTTACAAGCAAAGATATTGAATGGAAATCACCTAAGAGCTCCAGCCTGAGTTCCAGGATAGAATTGTGACCACTTCTGTACTATTTCAAGTTTGAGCACTGGGATGTGAATGCAGATGTAACCTCTGCATACCTGCTCACGAACTGTAATTAATACTGCTGTGAGCTGCTCTCCATGCAGATCACACACGGTCTTGTCTGTGAGGTAGGAGAGATTGAGATCTGTTCCAATGGGAGTCCTGATGTGGAAGGTCTAACATGCAGTAGGCTTTACTTTTTTAAAAGTGACCCTTTAAAAATGAAAATGGGAAGAAGCCTTTGACATGCACTTGGAACCATAGAGAAGCAAAACCAAAAGTGAAATAAAATGCCACAGTCTAAATGTTTGTGGTCAAATTCATAATCTAGAGCTACACTCACCCCATATTCAGTCCCGATTTTTTTTTTTTTTGTCTTTTTCTTTTTTATTGGTACCGGGGATCAAACTCACGATTGCCTGCTTTCAAGGCAGGCGCTTATGCCGCGGAGCTAAATCCCCAGCCCCAGTTCCGAATTTTTTAAAACAGGAAATCAATTTCCTTTTATGCCTTGGTAATTTTCACATTAAACTACTCCAGTCTTCATATTTACAATATTAAGTCAGTTTAATAAAAGCTAAAACAAAAAAGAACAAAAATTCATTGACATTAACTATCTTTAGAACTGATCAATAGAGGAAAGAACCAAAGTTTGAATAATCTCAAATTTATATTCAAGTTTAAAAATTTTAAACTGTCTTTTCCTTTCATTATTTATTTCTAGCTTAATTGATAAATTAAATTTGTGCAACTTTTCCACATACATTAATGCTAGGAGTTACTCAATGATAAAAAAAAAAAAAAAACAGGACAAAACAAAACAAAGCAAAACAAAAACCTCTTCTTTTTAATTTGAAAAAGTAAGTCCTTATGGTCAGTGTGTACCACCTTGAATGCATTTGTTATTACAAGAAATGTAAGTCCTTGATAAGCTAGCACTCATTAATAAAGTATAAATATCTAGCATCTCATCAGGCTCAGTGTGACTTTAACAATAGGGTAAAAATCATAATATGCTTCTAATGCACATAGCCGTATGTCTGCATCACTAGCCTAATCTCTGTTTTTTCAAAATGTGGGTAAGAAAAACGTATGCATCATAGTTAACTTTTGAATATTTATTTATTTATTTTTGTATTCTTTTTTGCAGTACTGATGATAGAACCCAGAGACAGTCTTCCATGAGGCTAACTTCTCAGCCTTTTTTATTGGGTCATGTTGTTTCCCAGACTTGCCTAGAACCTCTTATTTTACTTCTGAGTAGCTGGGGTTATGGAATTGCATCCTTCTGGCTTGAATCATAGTGTTTTGTTGTTGTTGTTGTTTTTGTTTGTTTGTTGTTTATTTATTTCTTTTGGATGACATGAAACAGTTTTTACCAAATATTTTTTACCTAGCTTGATGGTTAAGAATGAACAATGCATATCCTGCTATTATTTTAATTACTGTTGGTTGACTTGAAACAACTTTCTCTTAAGTAGACTGATAACTTTCTACTTTTAGAGTAGCTGAAAGAGTGTAGCATATCAACTAATCCTGAGAATTGATTTGCTAGTAAGGAAGAGTAGAAGAAAGGAATAAGTGCCACATCAGAAAGAATCAGTTAAATACGTGCACTATAAAAATGTCAAGTAAATTGTAGAAAGAATATAAAAAGGCCACTTGCTCAGGAGCACAGAAACTGAAGTGCATAGAGGTCCACCTACAACAGAATATAAAAGAAAGATTACATCATTTCATCTAGGATTCAAGATGGAGTTTCATCTTAGAAAATCAAATAAATACAAGTAATAAAAGCATTAAAAAATTAAGCCACATGGCCATAATGATCATACTTATTTGTAATTTAATAAAAATAAGTTACATAAGAACACATTTCATCCCTCATCCCTAGAATGGCACAAACCCAGAAGACAAAGTATTAAAATGTCTACAAACATCTATTTTTCTACTTGGGAATTTTTTTTTTTTTGGGTTTCATCCTGTGATTAAAAATTGCAACTGCTTTGTAGGGGAGGAAACTGTATTTCAAAGGCACCAGTGAGCAAGCTTTGTGTTTGTGTTCATTAAAAAAAAAAAAAAAAAAAAAAAAAAACTGAGCAAACCTTTCTCTGTGCATTAAGCCTTCTGACCTTTATTGAAATAACAAAACAGTTATTCAAAGAACATGGGGATGAATTAAAGGTAACTTTCTATTTGCTAACATTCAAGGGAGGAATGGCTTTCCTGTCTATCTCAGAGGGTTGCTCTGACAGAATATTTGCAAAGCACTCAGTCTTCTCAAGAGTACTGAATCATGATTTTTTTTCTAAAATTTTAAATGTCTGGCTAGTAAAAAGTTTGATAAGTTAACAATAAAAAGCTGCATTTGCAAACTTAAGGTGGACTTAAAGAAATTTTTTAAATGTATAAGGAAAGGAATTTATACTCTTGATCCAATGGCTGAAGACTAGTGTGACTGCAGGTTTGAGTACAAGCACTTCTAAATAACAGTGTGGATTTAGGCAGTAGTTTTGGATTTTTATAAGTAGTCATAGCTTATTTTTATTTTATTTTATGAATTTTATTCAAAATTATGATTAAAATATACAAGCTTCATGGTAAAGGAGCATGGCAAATCCTTTGGAGCTCTTGAAATTACTTATCTATCTATCTATCTATCTATCTATCTATCTATCTATCTATCTATCTAACTATCTCTTTAGTTTCAACTGTTGTTACCCAGGACAGGTATTAATAACTGCAATAATCTCTGAACTAATCTTTCCACTCAACCCAGTTCTCTCATCAATCTATCTAATGCATGGATTACAGATTTATCTTTGTCACTTTCACACTTATAAGTCATGAATGGCTCTCCATTGTTATCAAATTTAGTGCAAAATGTTGTTTAATATTAAGGGTGAAAAATATGGTGACATCCTCACTTGCTATGTGACCTTTTCTTTTTCTTCTACATTGAATTTACATTTTGGAACAGTTTGCTCACAATGCCGTTAAAAGTTTCTGCCAGTCTCTTGAGGGTTTCTCATTTTTCGCAATTTTATCATGCTCTCATCACAAAATATGACCAATCTGCACACAAAAGGAATTATCCATGTTCCAAATTCATGGATTTCTCTATTTTGGCATTTTATTGTTCTATTTTAGCACTTTTTTTCTCACTTTTAATATTTTATTTCTTTATTTTAGCATTTTTTTTCATAATGTTTAAAGTTGTTTTGGAAGCTATGCAAATGTTTGGTATTATTCCAGAGAGTTGAATACTCTCTGTAAAATCTGTATTAGTCAGCTTTCTCCTTGCCAAGACACAACGCCCAACACACATAATATGGAGAAGAAACATTATTTAGATCACTTTTTCTAGAAATTGAGTCCTTGGTCAGCTGATTCTAAGGCAGAAACATTGTGGAATGGTGTGACATAGCAAATCTATGGCGGCAGAGCAGGGAACAGAGGCACAGAGAAAGGGTGAAGGAGTTAGATATTAGCCAATGTCTTCCTTCCATGGTACACATCCAGAAATACACTGTATTAATCATCTCTGCAGCCCTCAAGCCAATTAAGTTGATACAATTAATCTTTAGCATATAAAATCTGTTGAGAACATAAGGTTGATATATTTTATTCATTATTTTCCATCCTGAAAGTAATAATCAGCAAAACCCATAGTAAATGTACACTATATGTTAAGGATACTTGCTTTCACAAAACTGGGAAGGAAAATTCCCTTCAGATCTAGACCTGAGAAGGAGACAAAGAACAAACGTTATTATGCTACTTCTGGAGAAATTTTTGGAGTTATTTATCCACAGAAGTATATGGTCATCCATTCTTTTGGCATAGAGATAGATACTACAAAGGACCTAGATCTCAGCTTCTTATTTCTAAGTAAATAAATTTAAACGATGCTCTCAAAGTTCAACCTACCAGAAACATCCTTTGAGTCTAGAAACTCAAAGTTCATACAAGACTTACAAGCTACAAGAAATATGAATCATTTCTAGGATCTCATTAAAATATCACATAATGTCTCTTATTTTTATTATTATGTAATTTATTCTAAGGATGGAAAGACATCCTTAGAAACATGTTGACCATAAAAATACACACCACAATAACATTTATTCATCATGGTATTCATGTTAAGAATATGAAGTTAAGTGGGGTGTGCTCAGAGCAGGTGGCCTGAAGAATGGCTTCTCTGTTTACAACACACCCAACAGGAATCTAGGATCATTGTAACAAGGGGCACAAAACTTGTGACCTCTCTTGGGAGCAAATGTCCTACACATGCATTCCACACGCTTCCACATAGTTGCTGGATAGTAATAATGTGACGGGACTCAGTAATGGGGGAAAGTGGGTAGCATTTAGTGGGGAGGTGGACATTTTGAGTGTACCCATAGGGGATCTGTTGATAGTCCTAAAAGTAAAGACTTTGAATTTCTATTTTCAATAAATTTTATAAAATAAAAAAAAAAAGAATATGAAGTTGGATATAAAAATAATAAAATCCAATTCATAATTTAATTAACATATTTTCTGATCAGTTAAAGAATCGTCACTCAGTCCAAATTGAAAATGAACAGGACATATTAAATAGGGATCCATACAAAACCCAAAAAGAAAAATTTGAGTTGCCATTGAGAATGACTACAAGGAATGGAATTCATCTAGATTCCCACTCCATCTTTCCTCTGTTCTTTATTTTCTGCAGGTTGATCACTTATATTTCTCAATGTAAAGAATAGGAAGAAGATCTATCAATTCTCAAATTCTCAAATTATAAAATAGAGATTTTGCCTTTGTAAAAAACATTCTGAAATTTTCTAGAACCAGAGTTCAACTATTTTTAGGAGAGAATGAGACACATTAATCCAGAAGGGATAATTGGTTATCCAATAACCAAGTCTATGTTTTTAGACAGGTGAGTTAGGCAAGCTCGGGAGCTTCTGGTTAAATTACGGGGATGGATGAGGCAAAGACATATATTCCATAAAGGAAATATAAATAACTACTACAGTAGCCATAAGAGAAATGTTCCTTAATTTTTTGATCTACATAGTTTTCCATTTTGATAATTTAATTTTAGACATATTTATTTATCATTATACATTTCTTCATATTTTCCTTTATTGTACAGATGTATATTTTTTTCCAAGCCCAATTACGAATGTATTGGTATAGAGTCAGATCACATTTTTCTTGCATATGTTAGATGTCCTATGAGGTACTGGCATGGTGCTTCCTATGGAGTAGCTACTTTAAAATTAATTCTTTCAATCCAGTTCACTGTTTTCCGTGGGTATCAGATGTATGTGTCTCAAACAATATTGTTGATCTGTTTTTCTGCATCTAAATTTTGAATTTATGGGTACATTGGGCCAGTCACATACGTAGAACCAATAATTCATATTTATGCAGATTCTAAAACTTTTTAAATTATATTTGTCTTTTAGTTGAATTATCTATATGTTTACAAAGGTAAAAGGGATGGTATGAGGCTACCATTCTTCAGGAAAGAAAAGGATAAGAAGAATTGATTGAAGGGTTTTACCAAGTAATATTCTCAAATCTCAAAGCAGAACACTATTAAAATCAAAATGAACTAACACTGATTATATAATATTACATTCGCATTTTAAAAATACTTAATTGAAACGCAGATGAAGATTTGTTTTTATTTTGATCAAAGGTTCATTTAATTTAGAAGCAACCAGATAAAAAATTTCTAAACAAAATACAGGCTGTAAATATTTTGTAAAATTATCCTTCAGTCTGTGTATATATTGAACAACATAGTGGCTAAAATATACAGATATTTTACTTAAAATGCTGTTGAAATGGATACAAGTAACATTTTCTTAAGGCTTTTTCCAGTACTTGGAATATTTCGCTTATTTAAGAGTCATGTCTAGACATTTCAATTTTTTACTTATAGTATAGTAATTAGTAATTTTCCTGTTAGCATTAGGACCTACAGTATTATGATTTGTTATAAATATTTCAATGTGATTACTCCTAGAGAAGCTTTCCTTTTTGTTTGTTTGTTTGTGTGAGTGTGTGTGTGTGTGTGTGTGTGTGTGCACGTGTGTGTGGTGCTGGGCATTAAACTCAGGGCACTATGCTTGCAAGGCAAGAGCTCTACCAATGAGCAACATCCAAAGGCCTCAAGAGAATCACTGAATACTAAACCCCTACCCATTTTCTAAAGTAGTACCCTTTATAGAATATTCCACTCATATCTTTGTAAGCTACCAATTATTGCCATGCATTTGACATTTAAAGAAATACTTCATTCTGATATATTTGTCTACATTCAACATGCTAATTTTAAAATCTAGTTTTGTCTCTGTGATTCAGACAAGCCTTTTTATATAGTGACCACAGAGATGCTGATAAATATAGGCTTTCTAAAGAGTCAGATTCTGTTTTAGCAACTATCAAAATAATATGTTTACTGTAACAACAGAACAAGTTAAGAAGGACTGACTGAGTCTGCCATAGAGTTTTAAAGATGTTTTTCCTATCAACTGCAGCCGTTGCTTTTTAAAGAATAAATCATGACTAATTTCCTCCTGTGATTCTTTTTATTGGAAATCAGATGAGTGGGAGTTGGGAACTCAGATCTAACCTACTTAAATCAGAGGGAGCATTAGCGCAAATATTCTTAAGTAAGCATTCATTGTCTAATCAAACGAAACTGGCTTACTCAATGTTCGCTAGCATGTCTTTCCAAATCCAGGCTCAGACTCTTGACTAATGTGGGCTGTTCACTCTGATCCCACTGGGGCTGCAGAAATCTCCTATTTCCTTTCATTTTCAGGTATGCAGCTGCATTGCTAAGCCATGACTACATTGCTAAATGAATCATTGATTTGGAAAACCTGAAGTGACCTTCAGTTTGCTCTCAAGTTCTTCCTCAATACAGAGGAGTCAAAATCAGGAAAATATTTGGAAGAGTTTTCTCTAAAGGTATTTGAAGCAGGGAAAAAGAGATCTGTGTGTGTGTGTGTGTGTGTGTGTGTGTGTGTGTGTGTGTGTGTGTGTGTTCACATGGGCAAGTATCTTTCTTTGTAAATTGAGTGCTGCTCCAAAGTCTTGTTCAGCGCATACATAAATATTTACCTTGGCTTCTGTGCTACCTATATGCTTCTCTGTCATGTGTTCTTCACTGAAATTCAATCAGTTTTGGATACTTTTATTGTCCCAGTACCGTAACAGGCACAATGAGCAGCCAATGTTATGAAAAGTTTTATAAATACAAATGCTACTTTCATTCAATTTCTTTTCTTCAATCTTAGGATTTAGTTTGGTTCACAGTGGGTGCTTCAGAAACTATTTCAGAAATTCTACTGCCCTGGAAAAAACACAGCATTTATTCAGTATTAACTTACTCTTCTCCATGAGTGTGGTGTAGTTGGGCATATCAATATTCAGTGTGCTACACAGATTATTCTGATGGCATAGTTCAGTGAAGTTCACACTAAGTTGATAGATTCAGGTATCACTTCTACTGTGTCACTGATTGGCTTCACACCAAAGCGTCCTGCATCAGTAGAGTCAATTTAACCTCATTCTCCTAGTTCCTGAGCTCTTCCACTAGGTGCTGAGTGTTTCATAAGAGTTTCCCTAGCTGAAGCAGATCTTAAAAAAAAAAAAAAAAAAAAAAAAAAAATGGAATTGACATGAGGAATCAGCCCTTAGGTATAAATAATTGACAGATTCCAACCCTTCTAAAACTGAAAGAATTTGCAGTTTACTATGCTTGAAGCTTTCTACTGTATTACGCATACAATTTAACTTTCCTATAACTTGACCCACAAAGAGAGAAAAAGTTACCTACACGACCCCTCAGGTCCTTCCTCGCCTAACAATCATGGAGTCTTTACACATCTCCCAAGGAATGTAGCTCATTTATTATTAACTCTATTTTAGAGCTGAGGAAGTAGAGATTCAGAAAGGTCTAGTAGCAGAGCAAAGTTCAGCTCTTCAACTTGCGGCTTCATCTCGTTTGGTATCCAAAAACCTCCCAGTCATTCTTCCCTGCGGTGAGGTTTACAACAGATTGTTCAACAGCTTCCGAAACTAAACCAGGTTGACTAATCTTGCTCCTGATTCTGAGCTCTCTGATAAATCACCTAACTATCTTTTTATGATGAATTGGTTTTGTTTTCCTTCATCCTTTTTTTGATGGTCAGGTGGGCAAACATGATAACTGTAAAAGGAAAGCAATCCATACTGGGGTTAGACAGAGCTCTATAAGCCAGTCTTGAAGACTGAGCCAAGCTCCTTGTGTCCTTAATTGTAACCTTGGTACATGAAAAACAACATTCATTCCATTTTACCAACGTTTCGGTCAAAGATCAATTGCCATTGTAATTATGTCATATATCACAGGACGAGAAATCAGTGGGAGGGCAGGCCCTCTAAACTAATACATATCATTAGCATTTAAAGAACATGAAAAACAAATTGAACATTAGTCCTCATGTAACTCTTTCTAGAGCAAATAATTTTCCAAATTAAAATGAATAAATTAATGAAACTGCCACATGTCTGAGAATAAAGCACGTAGGTAATGTCTTCCAGCCCTCAGCAAAGTTTAGCTCATTGTACTCTCTGTCTCATCATTAAAACATCTAATCAAAGAGAGCTTAAATACTTCAGTGAGCTCTCAAAATAAATTTGATCTGAGGAACTCAAGGCTCATGGATTCCTAGGGTTACTGATTAGGTGAAACATGTTTTTGTTTTAATTCCTGTCTCTTCTCAAAGAGGATTAATATCCATAATTCTCCTATCTCCCATTTAATTGAGAAATGGAGTTTGAAGAGGCACCTCCTGGAACACACCACTTTGAAGATGACCTAGCCACTGCCTACACAATAAATCTTATGCCCACATGCACATCCTTCCTATTCTAATGGAGGAAAAACTTGTATTGTGTGTCCATCTGTATTCCAAAGCACATCATTGTTTTCTCTATTTCATCTTATGATTGAGGCAGTCATTCTCCAGAAGCTCAAACTCTATCTTAAACTTTCCACTTTCATTCTAGCATCCCCATTCAAACAAGTACCTCTTTGGTTAAAAGCAATACTACCTTTATTTACTTGTTATGTGATATGTGATTTCTTTCCCTTTCACATTCTACATACCAGGAAAGGAGGAAATATTAAAATGAAATAAAGTATGTGATTTTTGTATTATAAGCATTTTCTATAGTATTTTATAAACATCATTATAGTTTAGATGCAACTGCAGCTTTTCTCACGTCTTACCACACACAC